AATACAATTTTTACTAAATATCTATAATTTTACTAAAATTTAAATTCGTTGTTTTTGTGTGTTTTTTTTTCTTAATTCTTGGTGTCAAGTGTTTAAAATTATTAAGAATTTTTTTATTACCAAAATTGCAGGATGAATCTAATGTACATTGATCCAAACTGCAAGATGAAGATAATTTTCTTCAAACATTATATTTAAAAAAAAAACACATTTTCGCTGTTTTTATCCAACAATTGATTAATTAGTTTAACGCTTGGTCGAAACATTTCAATTTACCAAATTGCCATTTGGGTTAATAAATTAAATATTATAGTATTTCCAAATACACACAAATTAATCTAATTAATTTTAGTTAATAATGAGTTACGGTGAATTAGTGAATAAAAAATAGTAAAATTTTATGATCCGTTACTAAAATATTTTATCCATACTTGAAACTTTAAATATTAAAAAATATCTCTTTAACTACAATGAGTTATAATTGTTAGCGTAAAATTTAATTTGTTTAAATAATTATATAATATAGTATAATTTAATTTTTTCATAAATTCAAATTAGATTTTACAATAAATATCTTTTTTAAATTTGTTAAAATATTATTTATAACAATATTTTTATATTAAATGTGATATTTGACTGTTAAGGGTTTGAATTTTATAATGTAAAAAACGATTTAATATAATAATAATTTATACTAACAATAAAAATGATCTTTTTCTTAAAGTTAATGCTTAACTCTAAAGACAAAAGTTTAGGTTGAAAAAAACGCTAGAACTTTTAAAGAAAGAAACTTCTAAAAATTGACATGGATAAAAAAATTTATAATAAAAGAAATAATAAAAAGAGAGGAATATGGAATCAGCCACTCACTCAATCGAAATTTGTAATTTTAAAAACTATCTCAAGATAATTATTAGCAAAATCCTCTTTTATTTAATCAAGTTTGGCAATCAGTGATCAATAAATTTTGTTGTTGATAAAATTAATTAGTATTATTAGACATTAGATTTTAAAAAAATCTTTAGTCAATAATTTGATAAAATGTTAGAATTTTAATTTTAATAATACATTTTCAATTCTAAACAATCTTAAATATAAAAATATAAGTAAATAGTTGATTAATTAATTTATTTTTGATCTTTTACAAAACTACTCACAAGTCAAGATAGCTATTTTTTATAAAAAAATTTAAATGAAATATGTGAATTTTAATATTAAAAATGATTTAATAAAAAATTTACTAAGATATTTTAATTTATGAATTTCAATTTTAAATTAAACTTTTGAATGAATCATTTTTAATATCAAACTTCACAAATTGGAAATAAAAATTTCTATAAGTCTTGTCTCTATTTATAATAGGAAAAAAAATTAAATTCTCATCTAGTTAAGTTATTTATTTGATGAATAAACGAGAGCAGCAATTACATATATTAAAAAAAAAAAAAACTCATTAAAATTTTTTTAACAACATGGACTTTATTTATCAATCCTTATGTTTTTTTTTTTTTTTTTAGATATTGTTTTTCTTAAATGGAAAACTTCTGTTTCTAATTACATGCCTCTCAGTTTGTGGCAAAATATTTAATCACCCACCTAACAGAAAATTGGGAAATCTTTATTTTCTAGTTGTTTCTGTTATTTTTCTGGGAAATTTTGACTTGCATTATATCAAATCATGGCACAATTAGACATTGAAAGGGACCACATCTCATAGGACAGAAACTACAGGTTCTCACAACAACACTTAAAACCACCCACGTTCGGAGCAAAGACATGCAAATACAAATTCAAGACACGAAGTACAAATGCATAAACTTACAACAATAAGAATAGCTGATGAACTGAAATGAGTTGAGGAACATGATGGACTTGAGGAACATGATGGACAATTAGCTGCTGCTTTCATGAAATATAGATCTAGTAATTTTCTGGTTCTTCGTTTTGGCACCTTCTGCCCCAACTTCCTCATAGTCTTTCTTGAGAGCAGCAAGGTCTTCACGGGCTTCTGAGAATTCACCTTCCCCCATTCCTTCACCTACATACCAGCGAACAAATGCTCTTTCGGCATACATGAGATCAAACTTGTGGTCAATTCGGGAGAAAATCTCTGCTAATCATGCATAGTGGGTGGCTGATCATGCATGCTGCACGTTGTACCTTAGCGAGATCACCCCCTGGTACCACAGTGGGTGGCTGATAGTTGACACCACACTTGAAACCAGTAGGGCACCTGAAATAAAAGACGCATCACAATCATTCAGATAACAAACCAAAGGCAAAATCAATGTTTTCCCCTTGGCGAACTCTATGTAATAATGATAATCAGATTGCTTATACATAATTATTTGGAAATGAAATGTAAGAGATGTCTACTAACCAATCTACTAACTGAACTGTCCGCTTAGTTCTGATGGTAGCAACAGCAGCATTGACATCCTTAGGTACAACATCTCAACGGTACATTAAACAGCATGCTATGTACTTCCCATGCCTTGGATCACATTTAGCCATCATGCTTGATGGTTCAAAAACAGCACTTGTAATCCCAGGAACTGATAGCTGCGGGCATATGATGAGAGCATGATATGGATACAAGGATATGGCACAAGGTTATTCTGAAACTCTAAAATGTCCAAACTTTGCGATGTGCATGTTTATGGCACCATCAAACCTCAATGAAGTGGTCAAAGAAGAGATAATTTGGGATATCAAGCGGTTCAAGTTTGTTTAAGTTGGTCTTTCAATGCCTAAGGATCTCCTACAGATATCGTATATAGCTTCATTGTCAAGAAGCTTAGCAACATCTGTGTGTTCAAGGAGAGAATGAGTTGAGAGCATGCTATTATAAAGTTCCACAACAGCGGTAGAAACCTGCACAATTGAGGATAATTGTTCAGTGAATTGCACAATCATTATAGTTCAAGCATAGGGTAAACGAAACCTGTACTTTTCCTTTAAGTCTTCAAGAAATTACCTGAGGAGAAGGGTAGATGGAGAAGCCAAGTTTTGACTTCTTTCCATAATCTACAGACAAGCACTCCAAAAGCAACGAGCCCAAACCAAAACCATTTTCACTGCCAACAGCATTAAATTCAAAAAATCCTTGCAAACCAGTGCAGTTATCAGCCAATTTTCTCACTTGGTCAAGGCAAAGATCCACAATTGCCCAACCAACTGCAGTATACAACACCAAAGAAGTTTAAGCCAGTGACCAAATCTAACAAAATTGCTAGTACTTTGGAAATGCAGAAAAGATGCTTGTACCTGTATAATGTGCTCTAGCAAAGTTATTAGCAGCATCTTCCTTGCCAGAAACAAGTTGCTCCCGGTGAAAGAGTTGTCTATAAGTCCCTCCTCCAACTTCATCACGACAGTGGGCTCTAGATCAACAAATATAGCTCTTGGCACATGCTTGCCAGACCCAGTCTCACTAAAGAAGGTATTAAAATCATTGTGGCAAACACCTAAGGTGGTGTCACAGCAAGCAAACACAAATGAGTTTTATAGGTTCAGATCATGAAATGATAGAGGGAAAACCATAATTCAGTGATCCATTTATAAATCCCATTCTATGTTTATGTCCACTTTGATCTGAAATTTATATTAAGAAAAATAAGTAGTTTCTGGCATGCATTTGTTGCTATTAAAGTTGTACTATACATCTGAGAATGATAAGCAAAGAGTAAGGCAAGTAGCACAAAAGAAAAGACGAAATTTGCAGGGCAAGAAGTTTAATCAAATTGTTCAAAGTCCCTTACTAGGAACTATAAAGTAGAGGAAAAATCGAGAGGAAAACTATAAGGACATAACTACATAAATTTATAAGATAAGAAGAATAAAGGAAAACAGAGATGCATTATATTAGAATCATGTCAATTCATTATAGATCCAGGGAAATTTTTTGAATTTCAGTACATACAATTCAACAATGTGATCCTATCCCTGTAAGATGTTCAGTTAGAGCAGACAAGGTAGCTAGCCAAGCCAGTTCCCCAAATGGTGGAAGATCAACAGAAATTCTGCACCACCACAGGAGATAGCTCTGGTGACTTCGCCATCTGAGCAAAGGAAATGCATTTCAAATGGAATTTTATGTTAATAAAAAATTCTATACCATTCACTTTAATTGAAACCACATTTCCATGAAACAAAACTCACAACAAAGAACTTTCTAATGCTTCCAGTTCCAAAGAAACACCACCAGGAAAAGCCAGTATGATTATAAAGCGGCATGAATGAGCACTGACATTTGTTCTGCAAAGGAGAATATTGTCCACTTTGCAAGGTTATCAAAACTAGAATGAATGGTAAACCATTAATAGAGCCCAACCCTGCTATGCCTATAGGCGCCCTAGAAGATAAAAAAACAAGAAAAAAAAAAAAAAAGAGAAGAGAGAAACAGAAGAAAAAAGAGTACCTGCATGCTGAAAAATTCAAAATCAGCCTTCTTCCTGAATTTAATAGGAAATAGGACACTTGCATGCTGCCTAATGCCTAATCAAATAGTGAAATACTGCCTTCTATATGAAGTTCATATGATGGAATTAGGGACTGCTTAAATAGTTATTAGCAACCCTTACAGATTATAAAACTTGTTTGGATTTATTGCACTAATATTGGCTGGGAAGAAATCACCCCATATTAGAACTTTGATAGTCTTCAAAGTTTCTGAACTACTGCATGAATATATTCACCCGTTGAATCACTAGACATTAAATCCACTAGCATCGCCGCTACAGATGCATTTGCAGAAAATCCTCTGTTAACCATTTCACGAAGAATTTGTACTCCCCTTGATACGTCATTGTTTCGAAGAAATCCCGTAATCATCACATTATAAGTGCAACTATTTGGCATGCAACCATCCAATTCCATTTTACTAAACAGTTTGTATGCTTCATTCTGCAACCCTTCTTTACAAAGTCCTCTGATCATTATACTATATGTGTAAACATTAGGGTGTATCCCTTTAACTTTGAGTGCACAAAATAATTTCCTTGCAACTTTAAGTTGCCCAACTTGACACAAGCCATCAATTAAGATAGAATAGTGGACAATGTCAGGTTCTAACCAACCATTCTGCATTACACGAAAAAGTCCCAATGCCTCATGAATATGACCACACTTGCATAAGCCATCCAGCAAAGTAGAGTAAGTGATCAAGTCTGGAACTAGGCCACGAGTACTCATTTCTTCGAAAAGTTCTTTTGCACCTGCAAGTCTCCCAACCTGCGACATGCCACCTATAAGAGTGTTGTAAGTAACAACATTCGGGATTAATCCATTTCGAGTCATTTCATGAAAAAGTTCCATTGCCTCATCAATCCTTTTAGCTTTACAATATCCATTGATAATGATGCTGTAACTAAATACATCAGGTACACAACCCGTGTTAGTTATTGAATTGAATAACTTTCTAGCTGCACCCATTTCACCTCGCAAACAATATCCATCAAGCAATGAATTATAGGTAACTATATTAGGCTCAACACCTTGTTGAATCATTCTTTCAAAAATATTTTGAGCCTCTAAAACCCTACCCTCTTTACAAAGGGCATCGACCACAATACTATATGTGATGACATTAGGTTTGCAATTGTTCGCCATCATTTCATTGAATAATCTTGTAACCTCCTTCCACTGACATGAGTTACACATAGCTTGAATTAAGGAACTATAAATGACAACATCAGGTGGAATGCCTTTACCTCTCATTTCTGAGAAAAGCTTCAAAGCCTCGGTTACATGCTTGTCCTTACCAAGGCTGTCGATGACATTGCTGTATGTTGCAATGTCAGGTGCAAAACCTATTTCTCCCATAGTCCTTAGCAGTAGAATAGCCCGAGTAGTGTCACCTATTTTACAAAGACCATTTACTATGGTATTATAAGTGATTAAACTAGGCTGATACCCTTCTCGAACCATGTCATCAAACAACCTCACAGCTTGAGCTACTTTACCTCCAATGCAAAGTCCATTGATCAAAGTGGAGAATGTTACAGTATCTAATTCAATGCCCAACTTCAACACCTTCCCCAAAACCGCAAACCCAAAATCCACACGATGCAAGCGGCAAAAAGAATTTAGCAAAATATTGAGGGTATAAACATCAGGATTAATTCCTAGTAATTCCATTTTTCTCAACAGAGTAACCGCAGTTTCATAATACTTCATTCTAACAATGGCCCCTAATAATTGATTAAATTCCACAATAGAAGGACATGGATGCATATGTAGCATCTGATTAAACTTGTTTAAGGCACCATCAATTTGATCAAACACATACTTGGGTTTCTTCTTGCAATGGGTAGTGGAGAAATAAGAGATTTGGGAATAAAAGAGAGAAGTGGCAGATTTAGGGTTACCCGATCCCAATTGTCGAAGATGATCAAAGGCAGAAGAAAAAGAAAAGAGAGAACAGCTTCTCCAACCCCTCATCATTATCATCATCGTCATCAAAAAAACAAACCGAAAGCTCCAATTCTTCTTCCTTCAGCTGCTTCGTTGTCGGATGAGACACCCACGCACCGCGCTCAAATGATAAAGTGCTCGCAAAATTCCAAACTTAATTTCGGAACCACGCCTAATTGATGTGCTCCATTTAAACCATTTACCTGTTTCTAAAGCCGGGATCGGATCTGGCCAATTTAGGGCTGCTTAAGATCTATCATTCAAAATCTCCTCTATCCCAACTTGGTTATTTAAATGATGGTTAATTTGGTCAGAGAGTGAAATTATATCTATTGAGATTGAAAATAATCATAGAGATGACATTAGATAACGTATTAGTAGTAGGATTAAAATCAATATTAGAATATACATTTAAATTTAAAAGCAATAATGTTAGTAATATAAATTATAGTAAAAAAATGATTATTAAGGATTTTAATTTAAAAATATAATAGTAAATTAATTTTTATATATATTTTAATGTTATTTAATATTTAAAATCTTAAAAATTTATTGAATTAAAATATTAACATATATTAAATTATATTAAAATAGTAATTAATATAAAATATAACATATTAAAATAAATAATTCACTGAAACCCTTAAAGTCAATTATATTTATCTATATTTTTTTTTCAATTACTTTTTCTTATCTTGTGAAGTATTAAGTTAGAATTTACAGAAACATTTATTTTTCTCTTTTGTAAGTATCAAGGATATGTTTCTTAACTTCAACTTACAAACATCTACATTAAATTTACTTTTATAGTAATCACTTTAACTTTTAAAATAGGTTTTATGTTTCAAAATGCTAATAGAAATGGTGATTGATAAATTTACTTGCAAGCTTTAAGTGATGGTATCATATGCAATAATACTATGCTATAATTTTACATGCATTAATCTTATACAAAGGATGATTGACAAATAGATATTTTACTATTCTATTTTAATGCTTATTTATATCTTTTTCTTTCGAAATATATAGAACTTATTGTTTCCAATATTGAATGTTAATAGAGAATAGATACATATGTACGTATTTTGCATGAGACTTTTTATCAATAGATATCTAAATTTACATTTAACTATATTCTTTATTTTTAATATAATATATTATATGTATGATATATTTTAAATATCTTAGTCTTCTTCAAATATTATTTTTCATATTTTTAAAATTTGTTAAATTTTTAATAAAAAATTTTTATTTTATAGTGATTTGATCTCTTGATTATATTATATGTGTTTCACATATATTTTGAATATATAAATAATTAAAAAATGTTAATTTATGTGTTTACACGTATTTAAATAATTAAAGACAATTAATGTATTGCAAGTGTAATAAACTAGTTTATTATATTTCATTTTTTATATAACTTTTTTTTTCAACTTTAACTACAAAAATTCTTTTAAAAATTTATTTATTTATTTTCCATGTTATTAGTATTATCTAAACATTTTTTACAAATATAATGACACATATATTGCATTTTTTTTTTTTGTGTTTATTCTATCTCTAATATCATTATTTCTTTATTATAGTTATTTTTTAAATCTCATCAAATTTTAATATTCAAAATTTCTTAATAAAAATATTTCTTCATACAATTAATTCATTTTAGAACACTTTTCATTTTAGTTTTTTTAAAAGATTTTAAAACTTTTATACAAACTCACTCATTAAAAACAAATTTTCATATATTGACACTTAGTTATACTGATGGTCAAATTGCATCAGTAAAAGAAAATTTTACTGTCAGATTTTTAATACTGTTAGATATACTATACTTATACTAATACTTTATTTAATCATCGGTATAAATGAACTTTTTATAACAGTATATGACTATCCGTCAATATAAATATGTTATATACTGACGGTTATTAATGCAACCAGTCAGTATAAGCTCAAAAAAAAAAAAAACTATTAGTTTTTATTTGAGAAAAAAAATTAGGGGCCGTTTGATTCGCGAAATTATAGATTTCGAAAGAAAGTGTAATTCCCAGAAAGTGCGATACCCAAGGTTTTCTTTTATTTTCAAGGCATCTCGTGTTCAGATTCACTCGTTTAGTTTGGAGGAATCCACATATATTAAATCATGAATAATTATTATAATGTCCTTGACATATTGATGGTAATTTAAATAACCCTATTCAATTAATTTTTATAAGGGTGTTATTCAAGGTATTTTTAACAAAAAAATGCTTTGAATAATCCCTTATAAAAAATTGAATGGGGTTATTCAAGATGTTTTTGGTCAAAGATGTTTGAATAATCTCCAAAATGTTTAAATCATTTTATTTCCCTCCACCTCCCACTGACTCTACATACTTAATCTTCACCTCCTCATCAACTCTTTCCACCCTCTGGTACCTATAGCCTAATCTCCATCTCCCACTAACTCTCTTTGCTTCCCACTGACTCTATAAACTTAAACCTATCATCACTCATTTTGTTTTAGAGCTGAATCAAAGTTAAAGTATCAAGACCCTCGTCATTTCTCAAAGGTATTTTTCATTTTTTGCATTTCAATTTTGTATCATCAAGTATGCCTTTTTTTTTTTTTGTCCTTCTACTAGTGCTGGCTTTGATGATTGAATGTTTTATGAAGAAGTAATAGCTTAGGACGATTGAATGTTTAGGGTTCCCTTCAAATAAAACATAATCTCTATTTTCTTGGTAGTTTTGGTAATGTATCTTCGTTTTAATGTTTTTTCGTAATTGGTTGACAAAATTTTTTCTATTTGATCAAAATTTGTAAAGGATGGCAGATTATTGCCATGTTAAGGTGTAATCAAACCATTCATATCTGATTAAAATCAATAAAAAGAAATGGAGCAAAGATTCCTTATGCATCGTTTACTAAAAATAGCTTAGAGATGTTTGGTTTCTCAAAAGGTTGCTTACCCATGTTTAGATGAGATGAACTTAACATTTTCTTCAAAAATCTAAGTAAGTAAACTTATTACTATCTTCATAAACTTTGTAATTTGTCTATTTCCTAACATTTAAACAACTAGATGAAGTTTTCTTTTACCTAGATCCAATGCTTTTTACTTCCAACACTAGGCTATGGTCGTTTTTGGCTTAAATGCATTAAATAAGAGGACTGTAGGTCCAGACGGTTCTACCATGGGAGCTTGAAATTCTAGTAATGTTGAATCACTCACTAGATACATTGTCAACTAGGGCTATACCATTCATGGCTGGGAATTTGGTAAAATTTCCCCATCAATATGTAGTTTAATTGTGTAGAAAAAAAATGATAATCTTGCCTTTATTTTTTCATTAGCAAATTGTTTTCCTGTGTTTTTTGGTATCTGAAACAATGGAATTTCTTAAATAATAATATGGCTAATCAGGAAATGAATTATGTGGCTTTAGCATTGAAATAAAAGTTACAGCATATCTATGTGCATCTAATGTGAACAATCTTTAAAACATTATTTAGAATATATATAAGGGATTTAAGGTTCAACCATTAGTAATAGCACCAAGAGGATTTTTTGATGCAAACTGGTTCACACAATTTATACAAAAAATACCCAAATCTCTACAAGTAGTGACTCAACATATTTACAACTTTGATGCAGGTACAATAAAATAATAAATTGCATTGTTTAAAAAATATTTCTTGAAATTCAGTTATTAAATTACATATTTTCCTTGTATGTAGGTAATGATAATCAGGTTATAAACAAAATCCTAGAACCATCTTATCTAAATGGTGGGTAGTAGCTTTTTAGAGACCTTCAAACAATTCTGAAGAATTCAACAAGTTTAGCAGTTAGTTAGGTTGGTGAAGCAGGGGGCCTATAACAGTGGACAAAATCTGGTCAACAATTCATTTGTTTATAGTTTCTGGTATGCTTGACTTGACCTTGGGAACATTTCTTATGTTAATTGACTAGTAAAAGCTTAATTTGACATGAAATTCTTTATTGGGTTTTACTAATTAAATAGGTATTTGGACCAACTTGGGATGGCATCATTTTACTTTAGAAAATTGTTTATTTACTTCAAGTATTATATTTGCAGACATTCAATCATAGATATTAATGTTTTTTTTTTTTGGAATTTGGTACAATGACGATAGTTCTTGACTTATTTTAAATATGTGAATTACAAAACAATTTGGTTGTTATTTTATTTCAAATGTTGTTAAATATTTTTACTTTTTCATGTATTTTTACTTTATATGAAACCATATTATATTATAATTATAAATAAGTTAATATTAATAATTGAAAATATAATTCAAAAAAAAGTTTTTATCGATATCTTAAAATTTATATCAACATATTATACTATTGAAATATTTCAAGCTATATTGACAGTCATCACGAACCGTTAATAAAAGTTAAAACACATAAGGCTATACTGATGAGTATTGACCATTAGTAAAAGATATATTGATGCAGAGATTGTTGGTATAAGTTGAAAAAATTAAAACATACAATTTTATACCAATAGAAATAACCGTCGGTAAAAGGTATAATGTGAAACACACAATGGTTGCTATACCAACAGCTATACATATAGTGACGGACTAAAACTATCAATATATCTTTATTATATATTCTGACAGTTTAAAAACCGTCAATATATGGCTATATCGATAAAGAATATACTAACGGTTATAAATTCTTTGAAATAGATATTTTGACTATCAGTATAAGATTTACTGTGTTATACCAACAGATTTTTAAGTTTTATTGACGATTTTTTAAGCGTAAATATAGAGCAATTTTTTGTAGTGACTTAAGAACTTGTATAGTTTGATGTTTTGTGTAATGTTACATTTTATTTGTCTTGGCTAGCTCACTTTTGGCTCACATGCCTTCTTTTTTAGGGGAGTTTTGCCTTAAAAAGGTCAAAATCTTGCATTATTAGATTTATATTAATTTACATACATAGTTATTTATTATATTTGAAATTTATAAAATTTATGATGATATCATGTTAAGATATCAAGCTAATTTTTATAAACTTGATTTAATAAGGTACATGAAAATTGGATTAATTAGCTTCACTAAATAGTTTGTAGTTTAATCACTACTAGACTTTTAAGCATTACTAACAAAATTTATAGACAATTTTTCTATCGATATTTAGCAACGAAATATCGATGAAATTTTATTAATGGATTACCGAATAGATTATCGACAGAATTAAATCCATCGATAATCCATCGCTAAAAATATGGTGCATATTACGGCCAATTTTACTGATGGATTTTTTTGTCGATAAATTCATCACTAAAAGCTATTGACATATTTACCAATAAAAAATTC